AAATCGAAGAGGCAATGTGGTCGTTCAGAAAGCAAAGAGGCACCTTTCCCCGAATTTCAAAAGCCGGGCTGTTTGTTCAAAAATCGAAGAGGCGACAAGGCCATCAGTTCAAAAATCGAAAAGGCGCTTGCTCAGAAATCGAAGGGATATCCTTTCTCAAAAGTCGGGTCTGCTAAAAAACCACGGGCCGATCTCCAAATTTCAAAAGATCGACTTTTCCAGACTTGTCCACTTCCTTCACACGTAACCTCAACTTTGCAGAAAGCACGGGCAAAGATTTCTGACAAAGTAAAAAACGCATGAATCTTACTGTTTCAATTACCCAATGGTTGCCGACAAGAGTAAAGGAATAGTGTCACTACTGGTTGTTGAGAAATTCCTATATATGTCGACCTTCATCGTCCATAGCAAGGCAGACCTGGCAAAATGCCTAACTATTCCTCACCTCCGAGAGTACACTCCCAGCAGAGCCTCTTGAAATACTCAGTTTTCTTCCTCTCCGGGAATACCTCTGCAAACAAATGACACCAAAAGCAAAAGTATCTCATATCATCAGGGTAGAAAGCAAGAGTATCTCATATCATGCAATCTTCATGTCCTTTTCTTTGTCCTTGTTCTTACCTGCAAAGACAAGGATAAAGAAAGCAATATGTCGGAACCTCCACTCAAACTCCCAGTCAGGAATCGACTGCTTGGAACCCTTCCCTGATTGCTTACCTGTCACTGCTCTCGAATTACCCATTGTTTCAACATCTTATGCTTCCAGAGAAGATACCACATCTGCCCAAAGAACAGATAAGGCAAGGGAAAATGATACGTTGAAACATATGGAGACAAGCACAACAAAGCACGTGCCGATTCATCTGCTACTTCTTCAAAATCAAAAGTATCTCATATCATCAGGGTTGCAATCACTCTGGGTTTAGTGAACTTGTTTTGACCCTCAAATTCTTGGGTCGACTCGCTAGGCGTTGTGAGCTGCATTTGCCGATTCACCACCCTTGAATCAAATCCTTAAAGATCAAGTCACCAACTGGAAGAAACGCTTACCACTCCTGAAGATCATACCGTTGACCAAACTGCTTAGGTGTGAATTAGAAAGATTGAACAAAGAAACAGGCCATCACATTCACCTCGTGCCTGTTTTCCATGTGTTCGAATCAACCTTCAAGATCAAGCCTCAACGGCCCTTGAAGAAGCTTCCAACCCAATTCAAGATCAAGCATCGACGACCCTTGAAGAAATCACAAGTACGATTCAAAATTAAGTGTCCATCAACCTTGAATCAAATCCAGCTCCACATAAAAAAAGAGTAAGTTCAAACCTTTGGAGGAAACCAGAAAATCCTCCAACCCAGTTCAAGAATAACCTGTGGAAAGTCAACAATCGGAGGAAGCCAGAAAGTCCTTCAACCCAGTTCAAGAATAAGCTGTGGAAAGTCAACAATTAGAGGAAACCAGAAAATCCTCTAACCCAGTTCAAGAATAAGCTTGTGGAAAGTCAATAATTGGAGGAAACCAGAAAATCCTCTAACCCAGTTCAAGATCAAAGTTGTGGAAAGTCAACAAGCGCAGCAAAATACGTGCCAATTCATCCACTACCAAAGCCAAAGATCATCTACCATGTGAAGCTCCTTGTGGTCCAATTTCAATCTTCAAGATCAAGCCTCAATGACCCTTGAAGAAATTTCAAACAAAGTTCAAGAACAAGCCTCAACGGCCCTTGAAGAAACTTCCAGCCCAATTCAAGATCAAGTCTCAACAGTCCTTGAAGAAATCTCCAACCCAGTTCAATATCAAGCCTCGATGGCCCTTGGATCGACATCTACATTAAGGGACTTCAAAACACATCTCCTACACGTGACAAGCACATGTATACGACGCGCCTTGAAGTGGGGGCATTTGTAGACATCGAAATTTTGGCGAAATAAATGTTGACCAATAGTTACAATTTCAACGCTCACGTGTCACATAAATTTTACACGTAGCGTGTGACTAAATGAAAAATCAAAATAAATCGGAAAAGTCATCAAACAGGACACGTGTCAACACCTGGCAGAAACGATTTATTTCATCTGAATATTATATTCAAAATTAGGCTTTGGAAAATTCTATAAATAGAAGCCATTTCATTCATTTTAGGGGGGACCAATTCATAACCAATTCACATTACACCAAAACCTTGAAGCTTTGAAACTCTAAAGTTCCCAAGTGAATCCCGAAAGATCAAGAAAGCTCTCTTCGTTCTTCGTCAAATCCTCCTTCAAGATCAAGCCCCGACGGCCCTTGAAGAAAGTTTTCATCGTTCATCATCTGTTCATCCTAAGATCAAGCCTTAACGACCTTTTTGATCAACAACATTAACAAATCCACACATCCAACTGTTCATCAGGATCAAGCCCCAAAGACCTTTGAAGATCCGTTCATCAACAGTTCTTCAAGATCAAGCCCAAAAGCCCCTTGAAGATCTGTTCCCTCGACCTTCAAGATTAAGCCCCAACGGCCCTTGAAGAAACTTCCAGTCGTTCATCCAAGATCAAGCCTCGACGGCCCTTGGATCAATCGCACATCCACAAATCAACACCTTAAGGAGATCGAATCAGAGGCTAAATTTGTAGAAGAGATTGTAACCTCTAAATCATTAATACAAAATATTATTTTGTACACGTGTTCTTGTCTCATTTGTTACAGGAATTTCCGTGTTTACAATAACTTGGTCCACTCATATTTGTTTTACGCCCCCTCAAGATTTAGATTTGAGGCGTACGATACCAGCGTCAAGGCACTTCTGCATCAGTATTTTCGAGTCCTCTCGGTGTAGGACCCATCCTCTTGTTCATTGAATTTTATATTCTTTCTTTTTAGTGTTCTAGTTAGTTGTATGCTCTGAACACGTTCCTTAAATGCATATTCATTATATTTAAATTTATAAGTCTTATTTATTTCTTGTTCTCATGCATTCTAATATGGCTTCGTCACCTTCAGGTGTTGGCTAACACCTGCCTACCCTAGTGTTTAGGGAATATCAGGGTCAGGCATGTCATTCAAGCTATTCATGATCCGATTAAGGGTAATGAGATGAAGTTGTAAGAAATGTGGAAGAATATTCATTCCTTTTTTCTCGAGAAGACTGACGGCAAAAGAACGGAACAATCTCTCACAAGTCGTTGGAGAATACTCAACCAATCATTTACTTGTTGGAGAGACGCCTTAGCACAATCTAGTACTAATATTTGAAGTGGCGAAAATTACTTTGATCAAGTTACAATATATTATTTATTTGTTTGTATTATACCCAAATTTACATTAAACTTCAAGCACAAACTTGCTACCATGCCAAAAACAAAACAACTCATTCAATTGGTGAGAATGTTGGAATATTGTTAAAGATTGTCCCAAATACAAAGTTGTGTCTGTCGATCCAGAAGTTGTTATGAACATCACCCATCTACACTCTATGCCAGATCACGACTCGCATGTTTATGAAAGTGACACAGAACAAGTGCCAGGAGTGACCCCTGAAGAAGTGTTGGGGAGACCAATTATCTACTCAGGCCTCAAGGTAAGAAGGCTTCAAAGAAAAAAAGGAGTTCTTCCATGAATGATTATGCAAAATATATGGAAGAACTTGCTCGCCAAGGAAAATTGACTTTGGCGAGGGAAGTGGCTAAATTTGAGGTTGATAAGCCTAAAGATGAGGCAAAAGCTGCAGCTACTGAGAGTATTTCAAGCTAATGAGAGAAAGAGCTACTTAGGCAAGAAAGGGAGATGCGTAGAGAAGAAAGAAGGGCTCAACAAAGATCGTGACATTATAAACATGCCAGTAGAAGAAATTTTCTGAATTCTAAATATTTGGAATTCGGAGAAAGGGGACGGGGTGTGAAGGAGGCTTGCAAGAGACAAGGGAGCAAGTGGAGATGATCCTAGCACCACAAATTGGTTTGGTGATGACTAGGGAATTTTTGTAAAATTAGAACCCATAATTTTCCATTCACTTTGAGTTGTAATTTCGTATTATTTAATTTGGTACTTTATGTAATTTTGTATTTATTTAATTTAGTACTTTATGTAATTTCCTATTTATTTAATGTAGTACTTTATTTAAACTAAGAGTATCTTTATTTAATTTGGTACTTTATTTAAACTAAGAGCATCTTTATTCAAACAACATAAACAAACCAAATAAAGTTACATAAACACACCAAATAAACCTCATAAAGAATACACCAAATAAACACACTAAATGAATTTAAAAAACAACCCAAATAAAATTAAAAATCTTATCAAAATCTCTTCTCAAAGATTCTAAATAGACAGTGACACGTGGGACGACGAGATTGGTTAAAAATCTATTGAAAATCTATCCTCAATGATTCTAAACAGGTAACAACACGTGGCACGACAAAATTGGATAAAAATATTATCGAAATCTATCACCAAAAATTGTACTTTCGGATAATGACACGTGGCGTGACGAGATCGGTTAAAAATCTGATCTGAAATTACTAATAAAATTATTTTATTAAATAAAAAATACTAATATTTTAATATGAATTGCTTGGACTATTCAGTTTAAGAATGGAGATGCAATTACTATTTATTAAAAGCAATTACTATTCACTTGAGGGGATCGAATTACCTATTGCCATGGGGAGCCTTTACACACTGGAATTGCTCTAAAGAAAAATTACAGCCCATCTCAACACTTCTCAAGTAATAAACGTGTAAAAAAAAGGGTCAGTTAGTTTTTTTGCAAGTGGCACTTTACCACAGTGGTGAAAAGATGTTGAGCTCTTGGACAATGACGTGGTTCGAACCCTAACGGTGGCTAATATAACAAAATAAAACAACATGTGGTTCAATATCCTAATGAATAAAGTGTTAGATTTTTACACATATGCTATTTGAAACTCCCCCCTCTCCTGAATTTTTATAATAGTTTGGAACTCTATTTAAAATGGAGAAGCTACAGATAGCCCAATATCGAAACCCAACAGACCTATTATCCATAAAGAGCACGGGGCACTATCGTCAACTGACTTGAAAGTGCGTGCGCATTACACCCCCAGCCATGAGAAAACTCACATGTATTTCCCGCCTTGTATTTTCATACATATTCAAACTGTGCATCTCTCTCTCTCTCACACACACACACGCTCAGATTCGCCGTCGGCAGAAAAATTGATTTTGAAAATAGAATTAATTGAGGTCAGCAATCATCAACGCTGCACAAGCAGTAAGCTATTTACCATGAATTGTTAGCTGTTTCGCTATTTTGTAAATTTCTTTTTCTTCCATGTATTTTCTGGTTATCAGATTTTGAACTCCGGTTTTCACTTGTTTAATTTCATTTTTTGAATTTCGCACATTCGTACATTTTCCATGTGTGGTATGATATGTCATCTGAGCTCTGGGATTCAGATTCTAAAATGTTAAATTCTTCAAGGTTGTGAGCGCCTGAAACTTAATTTTCGGTGAATTAGGGTTTATGTCGTATCATCATCGTCTAATTCAGAAGTAATGAAATGATTTACTGATGATTATTGGGGATTATTACCATTTACTGATTCTTTTCGTGTTGGATGGCGTATTCGAATTCGTAGGTTCTCCTCCAATGTTCTCACAGTCCTAGCTTTATCTTGTGTGTAACAAACTATGTTTAGTTAGGATAAGAAATCATGATGAAGTAATAGTAAATCCCTACTTAATTTAATTATCCTGTGTGTGTTCCCAAATAATATGAAAAAATTACGCATCCATCTTGGTGGTCTGTGTCTGATCTGAAATGAATTATCATGATATTGAGTTTCTATTAACTTCATTTCACATTTTTTTTTCTTCCTCAGCAAATAATATTAGCTTTCTCTCTGCCTTGCCCTGCCCCTCCTCTTATGCAACTCTGTTTGTTTTTTGAGCTAAATTGCTTAGTCTACTGTCCAGGTCACAACTGCAGTTTTGCTGCTTCTTTGTTCTCAAACAATGGAGGTGGATACACGGCAATACTTACGAGATGTAAGCACTAACATTTTAATATGTTCTAGTTTATAGCTAATGACTGAGTTTCTTGAAAATTTCCAATTAACTTTTCAGTGTTCATCTTCTTATTTGGTACTTGGTGCATAAGCTTTTACGAAGCTCATTATATATATGCTATCGTTTACTCATGATTACTCATCTGTTAATTGTTAACATCTGTGTCGTCAGGCATAAGACCCATAGATAGCATTTTGGTTTTACTTTGTTTAGTAAATTATTTGCATCTGGTTGTGCATAACTTAGTTGTTAAGATATTCCAGATTTCTGCAATCTGAATGTTGTTCCACCTATATGTCTTTCCCCTTTTGCTTGATGGTCTATTGGATTTATATTCATCTCAATATATAAAGGAAACAAGATGGTAGAGTGGAATTGGGACTATCCCCAAAGAACATGAATACTAGGAAGTTTCAGTCAGTATTGAAAACAAACAAAACTTATATGCTTAATCCCTCACCAAATATGTTTCAGGACCAAACAAGCAATTGTAGGAGTTTTGGAAGCATTAATCATCCATCTAGTCAATCGAGAAAGATATCAATTGGAGTTGTGGTAGATCCATCAACCAAGAAAACGTCTGGAGTCACCAAGGAAGGTGAGGCTGTGGTGCCAAATGCAGAAAGGGTGACATATAACTTAGGCAATACCACAGAGGAAATAAGCAAGGAGCAAGAAGTCACAGCTGCCAAGAAAACAAAACAAGCTACGGATCCAGAGCAGGTGAATTCCCCATGTATTAGTACTGCATCATTCCACCAGAAAATGCATACTACAGATGCCGTTCTTCATGCAAAACAGTCTTCTGATTTGCCATCTGGTAGTGGGAAGGAGTACAAACAGGATGGAACAAGGAATGCACCTGTTACATGTTCTGTTCCGTTTTCCGCAAACCAGACATCGTTATTCCAGTCTGATGGTAAGAAGCAGAAGAACTTTGATGGAGTTAGCTACAGAAAGAGGAGAGTGAAGGATGGATCAGTGGAACTTCAGGATTTCACATTTGCGACTGCACAGGAAGTCGTAATGACGGATAAGGATACACTAGTTAATAAAACAGATGCAACGGATAAGGATGTGATAGTGGATAAAACAGATGCAACAGAAGGCAGGAGAACTGAAACTCTCAGAAAAAAGCTTTGGGAGATATTGGGAACTGTTTCTTCGCCTGATGGTCAGCATTCCAAATCTCAGCCTCCTGAGGTTGCTGATAATAATTTAAATCCACAGCCGGAATTTGATCAAATGGGTGCCACAGTTGTCAAGCCTAACAATAACTCTGATATACCAGAGCAAAAATATGATGAGAAGGGTGATGCATTTATCAAACCCCGACAGAATTCAGATACTATAGAAATGGAATCTGAAAGTCCTGATAATATTGTAAGGAGACCTGTGACTCGTTCTTTGAGCCAAAAGAGAGGTCCAACCAAAAAACAGCAGACAAGTGCAAAAAATGGTCCATCCTCTGTTTACAAACTGAAACATCAAGACAACAACATATTTTCCTTTGAACAAGAATGTTATGGGAAGCTTCATGGCTCTTCTGGTGGTGGATCCTCAATGTCTATGCGGAAGAAGAGCGAGGTCAAAAGTTTCAGAACTGAGTCGCATGGGATCTGCCTTCCTGAAAAGGGTAAACCAACCAAGACTCAGAAAGAGATTAATAGGAGTGAGCCACAATCATCTGCTAAGCAAACAAGTTCTGTAGGCAAGAAAATAGGAGATTTTCATGGTTACCTACATGAGAATAAAAGAGAATATCAGGAACTGGAAAAAAATATTCAAGAGCAGGAAGTCTACCAATCACCACTCCAATACAAGAAATTTAAGGCGGGTTTTTTCACTCCAGCAAATAAAGACCACGAGGAAGACAATGGCAATCCAAACTTGAGGAAAGCTGCCAATCCAGAAGAAGATGATCTAAGTCCCGAATTTGGAATTAAAACACCCGTGTCAACTTCTTCCCTTAGCTCAATCCCAAACTCAGACCAAATGGTAGATGCTAGTAGTCCTGCTGTAACAGAGAGGAGATTTAGTGTCGGAGATATTCGAAGTTTCAGTACTTTCTGGACTCCAAAACAAGATTGTTGTGATAATGAACAAACAAAATCTTTTGTATCCTTTGTTATTGAATGGTTCTGATCAGATACTTTCGCAGTGTACTACTCTCTGTTAAGTATTTTGTTTCTGCCTTCTGTATTTCCTTAATGAACTTCAGGATTCTGTAGAGGAACTCCAGGATTCGCCATTGAGAAAAACAACACCTGACATGGAAGAAAATGCGGCAGAAGAAGGCCTTCTTTCGTCACCATCTGAAGAGGGGGACTTGAGGAGTTGTGGAGAAGGTTCTCCTATTATCCAAGGACATGACTGTATGTTCACCCAGACCCTTATCTGAACCGTAGGATAAATGCATTTTTGAAAAAACATTAACTGCTGAAGTTAATTTTGCTTGATTGGTTAAGCATCTTCTGATTTTAATTGTATGTTGTATGATGTAAGAAGCTGGATATGTTTATTTCCCCCTGCCCCACATGGAAGAATGATAGCCACTTCGTTTACCTAACTGTTGTGTAGGTTTCTTAGAAATAGATACATTTGCTTTGCTCCAGAAACTAGTACTGCTGAAAAACTAAATTCAAACTTTTTGAGATGAAAGGCTTTGCAGCCCACAAAGCACCACATTTATTCAGTTAAATATTTCAGCTACCTCACCCGCTCTTAATCTGCAATAATATTTTCATGTTGCAGGGACTGAAGAAGACAACTGGATAGAGGAACCTTCAGAGCATAATCAAGTGGATGGACTGGCTAGGTTTTTATTCTCTCTGTTCTTTGTGTTGTCATATGTGAATTGGTGCAGTATATATACTAGCTTTCTATGTTTGCTATGCGTTTGTGATGTATGTGTTGTATTTGACAATGTTTCAGGGCTGTTGAATTGTTTGCATTGGAATTAGTAAAACTTAAAACCAAAATGAAGTCTGCAACTAATAGGAAATCCACTGAAATTTTGGTATCTGTTGCCGCGGAGGTACATATGCAGCTGCAAACCATTGAGTCTCAGATTCAAACAGACATGTAGGTACTCTCAACTGAGACGTTTGAGGTTTCCCTATTAATTTCAACAAGCTCTAAGTTGTTTTGGATGATTTTCAGAGGAAAGCATACAAACCTCAGTAAATCAAAGAAAAAAAGGCTGGAAACAAGGTTTGAAGGTACTAAAAGTTGTATTTCTGATACTTTCAATTGATTATTATTATGTTTGGAATTAATTAATTTGAATCTAATAAGTAACTAATAGGGAGCCTTGTGCACTGGGTACGACCTTTTACCTTTTGAATCTAATAAGTAACTAATATTAAAATTATTTTTCTATCTCCAAATATTTATATCCTTTCACTTTTCTGTTTAAGGGTGGTTGACAATTTTCTGACCAAGATGAACCGTACACACTCCTGTTGCACACAGATATGACATGTGAAAAGAGTTATATTTAGATATCTTGATAATCACTTATTTCATTTATCATAATCACCCTTTCTTTAGTGGTTTCAATTTTGTGATTATTTCCTCAAATTAAATTTGCTGGTTTTTCTGCAAAACTCGCCTGCATTGGGTGATTTTGCAAGTTTTACCAGGAAATTTGTTCCTTTTATCCCCTAAGTCGTGAGGTTGTTTGTTTGGCTATAAGACTATATGATATACCAATACCATAATAGGAAACAGTGCTCACTTGTTTTAATTTTACATGTTTTAAATTGCTTATGTTGAGAATATGAAGTCTGGCATCAAACATTCTAGGCCTTTCATCGTAATATGTAAAATCCTAGGCCTCCCTATCCATTGGTAACTGGTTTTGGTTGGAAGCTCCAACTTAACATGGTATCAAAACGGCAATTCATCTTGTCCCATGTCCAATTTGGCCACATGTGTTCAACTTCACCTAATATGTTAAACCACTTGTTTGACCCAATTAGTTTGCACATGAGGGTTTGTGTTGAGAATAAAGATTCTCACATCGGACATTATAACCGTTGCATCACAATAATTTAATTTACTTTTATCCATTTATTGGCTATTGGTATTAGATTGGATGGTCTAGCTTTCAACATTTAATATATTGGAAATTAATGAGCTATACTGAGTATTTTTTTTGTTGAAATTTTTGCACTCCATATTTTCTTCTTGTAGGGAGGGCTTTATGGATATCACTACGTATATAATCAATTTAGCCCGCATGTGCCCGGAATTGGAATTTTTTCTCATTGAAGCTATGCCTGAAACCCCACCTTTTTTTTATGCAGAGCAACAAGAACAACTGAAAGTGATTTATGACAAGTTCAAGGAACAAGTCAATCAGCATCTTCAGGAATGCAAGAGCACACTTGAAGGGCTGGAAGTGTACCAGACAGAGTTTAAGGGAACTGTTGATAAGCAAAGTATGGCAGCTTCTTTACATTTATTATCTCTTTATTATTTTCATGTGTCAATTCATTATGGAAATGTGCTTGTAAAGGTGTTATATCATGTCCATCGTGATTCTGCCTATCAATTATACTTTCAATAATCTAAATAATGGATATACAAGCTTCCCGATGATAGTTGAATATGGTGACATCTCCGTAGTCACAGTAGTCAATGAATGCTGACTACATGCATTAAAGTTCCATGCATCTTATGCTTATATAGACTACATGCAATAACATGGCCACAAATCCAGCATTTCTTGATATGATGATGAACTAAATAAGCAGCTAGATACTCTGTTTTCATGGCTGCATTGTGTTATACAGCAAAAATCATTGACGTGAACCCCAGACCGTACCGTGAAAGGCCTTTTTAGATGAGCTAAAAGTGTTTGTACTCTCATTGCAAACAAATAACATTCCAATCCTGGTACACTCTTTTGATTTTGTTTCACTTGCAGAAGCATCACACAGAAAGCTTCTCATGCGAGTGGAAGAAGCAATTGAGACCCAAATCAACGATGCCCAAAGAAAAATCCAAGTCACCCGAAGGGCAAGTTTTCCTTCTATCTATGTAAAATTTATTGTCGAGTTTTGTGCAATTATTTGCATAATGTAATCTAGACATTGTGTTGCATATTGTTGATTTTGCCTTTGGTTGTAGTACGTAGCTATAAACTTATCATGCAGCATATGTTTTGAGTATAATATCTAGCTAGCTACTAGATCACTTCCACAATAATATACAGGTGGCTGGCTGAATATAATGGGTTGATACACTTTTCAGTGCGTGTCACTCAATAGACCTCGTGAGGAAAACCCTCAGTCTCAGGCTCATCCAACAGGGATTTAAGTTTTAAACTCCCTAGAAATCAGACTGTGGACTGTGGAGTCATGGTCTTCGTAGTTGAATTAAGAACTTAAGATGTTTAAAAAAGTTGTCATCTTGTAATACTTGGTCTGTCATCTCCTCTAGATCTTTTTACCGGGGATAATGCGCTGGCATCTAGTATAACTAACGTATCTCCTTGATCTCACTAATTGCAGATGGCGCGTGGAAAGATGCTCCAATTGAAACACGAACTGGCATTGTGTTTAAAAGACGGCATTCTAAGTTGATATACACAAACTGTGTACAGATTAGCTCACAGAAAGGTTTAGAACTAGGCAGCCTCAGCCCCGAAGATTGCTTCTTGCAGGCCTTGAAAGTAACCAAATGGCTTGCTCTATTGCAGTTCCTGCTTAGAAATATAACAGTGATCTCATTGAGTCTGTCTGTATTTGGTAATTGGTATGAATTATTCGATCCTCCGTTAAATGTGATTTCATGTAACGCATGAATATATATAGTTGAAGAATGAATCGTTCACAGGAAATTGAGACTAATCTCCTAATGCATATATGACTTTCTTTTTCCTCCCTTGAAGAGCATATGTTTGATCAAAACTAGATTTTACAATTCATGTTGTGTGATGATGTGCTGAAATTCAAATCGTCCCCGTTATTTGAATAAAATTAAAAATTAAAATAAAACCTTAAAATAAGCCATAGAAGCTCCCACTCAAACAAGGGTTACCTATTTAGTACAATAGTATAGTAATATTCATTTTTATTTGTAAGTAAAAGTTTGAATCTTGTAGATGACAGGTTTGAAAAAAAGTGTTACATACTTAGCACAAAGGGTAATGTTAGGGAGACTAAATTTTTTAAACCAAATGATATGGTGGTAGATTGTTGGATTCTTGATTAAGCGTCTATTTACTTGTTTCTTGATAACACATCATTTTGTTTGCAAATTTAATTTAAAATTTTGGTCTCCTAGCATTATCCATGCATAAATATGTCGTATAAAAAGATACAAATTGACTCTGTTAACTTAATGTGCTTAATATCACAATACTTACAAATCTCATCAACAACAACAAAGCCTTTTCCTACTAAGTGGGGTCGGCTATATGAATCCTAGAACGCCATTGCGCTCGGTTTTGTGTCATGTCCTCCGTTAGATCCAAGTACTCTAAGTCTTTTCTTAGGGTCTCTTCCAAAGTTTTCCTAGGTCTTCCTCTACCCCTTCGGCCCCGAACCCCTGTTCCGTAGTCACATCTTCGAACCGGAACGTCAGTAGGCCTTCTTTGCACATGTCCAAACCACCGTAACCGATTTTCTCTCATCTTTCCTTCAACTTCGACTACTCCTACTTTACCCGGATATCCTCATTCACAATCTTATCCTTTCTCGTGTGCCCACACATCACACGAAGCATCCTTATCTCCGCTACACCCATTTTGTGTACGTGTTGATGCTTCACCGCCCAACATTCTGTGCCATACAACATCGCTGGCCTTATTTCCGTCCTATAAAAATTTTCCCTTGAGCTTCAGTGACCTACGACGGTCACACAACACGCTGGATGCACTCTTACACTTCATCCATCCAGCTTGTATTCTATGGTTGAGATCTCCATCTAATTCTCCGTTCTCTTGCAAGATAGATCCTAGGTAGCGAAAATGGTCGTTTTTTGTGATCTTCGCTAGATTGCTCCGGTCATTAGTGTGGATAAGTATATAAATGGATAGAGATAGGAAAGCAAACACCAGATGTACGTGGTTCACCCATATTGGCTACGTCCACGAAATAGAGGAGTTCTCATTAATTGTGAAGGGTTTACACAAGTACATAGGTTCAAGCTCTCTTTTAGTGAGTACAAGTGAATGATTTAGTACAAATGACATTAGGAAATATTGTGGGAGAATGATCTCGTAATCACGAAACTTCTAAGTACCGGAGTGTGGTATTGTCTTGACTTGCCTTATCTGTCTCGTAGGTAGATGTGGCATCTTCTCTGGAAGTACTCTTCCTCCATCCAGGGGTGGTATCTTTAACTGGTGGAGATGCACAAGGTAATGTATCAATTTCACTTGAAGCGTACTTGTAGTTTCAGGCTTAGTCAAGCGCGATACAAACCATGTAGTAGGAGTCCTCCAAGTCGCCGAGCTAGGGGATCTACCTCTAGAGTTGACAAGGGTGCATAATGTGTTTCATGTGTCCATGCTACAGAGATACGTCTCTGATCCGTCACATGTGATTCCTCCTCAACCGTTAGAGATTAACCCAGATTTGACTTATGATGAGGTTCCAATGACGATTCTTAATTGGAAAGATAAAGTTCTCAGGAACAAAACCGTTCGTACGGTGAAAGTCTTGTGGAAAAACCACTCTGTTGAGGAAGCTACTTGGGAGACAAAAGAGCGTATGCGAGATCTCTATGTTCTTTGACTATGATCTTTAGTAGTGTTGAAATTTCGAGGACGAAATTTTCTTAAAGGGGGTAGATTGTGACGACCCGTCCCTAAATTTCTATGTAATTTTCTCCCCAAGTGTGTAATATGACATTTATGCCCTTGTTGGCAAAGTGACATGGACGTAGTTGTTCAGCTTTTAATTATTTTCTCGTTATTGTAATTAATTAGTACTCGTTGATACGAACGAGTGAGCGCGAGTTAAACTCGAGTAAGCCTTGTAACGAAAAAGTTAAGCTTAATTAAAATACGTTAACAACAGGTAGATTTGTACACGCGTGTGTGCTAGTCTATTAGTGTAGGAAACTACTGTTTTTGATAAGGTACATAAGATGTAATCGGATTTCAATTGTACAACCCTATCTCTTTTTCCTCTTTAAAAATTTGTCCTGAGTTCCCCATTTCACTCACCAACCAATCAATTTTTTTTCCCATTTCCCCTCACCCAATCAGATCTCTCTCTCATCTTCTTTTTGGACCAATCAAAAATCACTTTTCCCCTCTCTCATCCTCTTCCTCTTCTCTCCTCACCGTGACTTTCTCTTTTTTGCAACCACTAAGAGCACGCATCAAAGCTTGTAAATTGAGCTTAAAAACATCACCATCACACTCATTTTGAACCCACCCTGTCGTACCAACTAATTCTCAAATGGATGAGTTTTGACTCACCAACTCGGAAGCTTCAACTCGGACGAGTTTGCTCCGACGTGATCCTAGCCAAGTTACGACGTTTTGAAGGTTGTGGAAGCACCTAGTTAACTCCCTAAGACCATTAGGCTAGTTTTGAAGTGGAACCAACGTGAAAACACATGTTTTCAAGGAGTCGAAAAATAGACCGAACCTTTCGAGGCTTTTTCAAGCCAAGTCCATCCACTTTTTGGACTTTTGAAAGGTACAATCATGTTCCACTCTTCAAGAGATTCATTTCCATATAAATTTCATCTAAAATGGTTGAGAAATGAGCAAAATATGAAGATTTGAATTTTTTTTCCCAAAAATCGACGAAGTTTTCCAGTTTCTGGCAAAACCAAACGGCGGAGTTCTACCGGAGAAGACGAAGAATATTTCGTCAAAGTTGACAGAATATTCTACCGGCATCAAGTAACATTGTTAAGTTCTGTTAACTGTTTAATGAAATATTCCGTCAAGTTTGACAGAATATTCCTGTATTCTGTCAGTCTCTGCCAGGCATGTGCCTACGCGTGTGAGGGTGCGTCCGGCCTTTGGCCGGCGAGTGGTTAATGCGTACGGGTCTGTGACGTCGAGTATAATATTTTGGTATATTTAAACCCTCTGTTTGAGCAAACTATGGGGGTTTTTCCTAACCTTTTCGTATATGTCCTTATTAATTAATTATTATTAGTTGTTTCGCATATAGGGGAAACTTACCCTGAAGACGTACGAGCATTACACACTCGCCTCAGATCCAAGTAGGTGCCAATCCTATCGTACAAGTTACATTAGGCAACTCCGACTCATAGGTGACCGCGAATAGAACCAGTCTTCACGTGATTGTAGCACTAGAGCATATATTATGATTACACCCGCTCCTATCGTACATGTTGCATTAGGCAATTCCGACTCGTGTGCTAGCATAGATTGATGAGCATCAGTTCAATCGTACAAGTTGCATTAGGCGACTCCGACTTGTGTGCTAGTATAGATTGATTGGACATCTAATTTTACTTATATTACTGTTGAGATATTGTGATGTGACATACTTATGGATTTACTGTTGATTTGCATTTGATTTCATACATATACATAGTATGATTTTCTGGAAGCTAGACATGTTTTACGACGAGGGTTTAGTATGTTCAGAAAATAAATGGATTTTATAAACTTTTGTTTTTGCCCACTCACCCTTCTGTTTTTCACCCCTCCAAGTCCTAGATAGCTGAATTACTCTATGGCGTACAAGGATTAGCCGACGATTCTGACATATCCCTGTTTAAGTGCATGAACTTATCTAGTTGTCTATTAAGTACTTAACTAGTTTGGACTGCACACTCTGTTTGTACCATACTTGACCAATCCCGAAACTACTGAGCACCGGTCAACGTTATACCGTCAATGACCCAGAAGAGTTTCCCTCCAACCAGGAGGCCAATCACAGCGCGACACGTGTCGACATCAGAAGCCAATCATAGCGCGACATTTGTCAACATCAGAAGCCAATCACAACACGACACATGTCAATATCAGAATGAAACTAGAAACTCTCTTCTATAAATAGAGATCATTCTCTCACAATATTAGTTAATATCATTTGTACTAAATCATTCACTTGTACTCACTAAAGGAGAGCTTGAACCTATGTACTTGTGTAAACTGTTCACAATTAATGAGAACTCCTCTACTCTGTGGACGTAGCCAGTCTGGGTGAACCACGTACATCTTGTGTTTGCTTCCCTGTTTCTATCCATTTACATACTTATCCACACTAGTGACCGGAGCAATCTAGCGAATGTCACAAACTTAACACTTTCTGTTGTACCAAAGTCTTCACTGATTTTGTGCATCAACATTTGGCGCCGTCTGTGGGAACGACACTTATTCCCACTCTCTTCACAAAGCTGGTTTCCACCATTCGTACATTCTCTTTTGACCAGGCATCCCTCTCCAACATGGGGAGCGAAGGAAGCCACATCACATAGAATGACACCCATCTTGCACCTAGTGCGAAGCAACGAAAGAAGGAAGGAAAGAGGGTTGCTCTTCAAGCTAAAGTCGATGAGTTAGAAACTCAGAACAACAAGATAGCAATGAAGAATGAGGTCCTCCATGAGCAGTATGAGAAGCTCTTTGAAACGCTCCACGAAACTAGGTGTACTCAAACACGAGAACTCATTACCCCTGTGGAGATCAACCATCATCTGGGTGCCGCCCAACAAGGAGGGTCACCTTCATTCGACATATATATCCCTGATTAGAAGCGGGCTAACCATCAAAACATTGATCAACATGAGACTTCTCTCAACCCAGCTGCTTCGACTCGAAGCAGGAGAAGTGGAAGAAGACACCTCCTTGCAGAAGGGTTGGAATGATCAAAAGCCGTTTATCGTGACTGCCAAGATTTCCTAAAGCAATGTCGAGAGAATCCCCTCCACATATGCTCGAAGATCAATGACCCAAGGGTTTCTG